GCCAAACTTTAATGAAACACAGAGACCCAGACGTAATAGTACACTTTGAGAACCACTGCTCTAGACCGACAATTTTTTGGAGCTGGAAGTGAACTGGATTCCGGAGCTAAGAGGCAGCGCCTCTGCGGTGTAAACAGGAGAAAATGGTACTTTTCAGGCTCCAGCTCCGAGCCGGAGCTGAAAATGCGTTGGTGTGAAAGGGGCATCAGCGACTGCCANATATATATATATATATATATATATATATATACACACACACACTTTACAACAATTTGTGATAAGAAAGAGCATAAATGTGCTAGTTAAATGAGAGTAATCTTGTAGAAAGAGATGCATAACCAGAGTTTTGACCACAGTTACCATTTAAAGGCACAGAGGTTACAATCTTACTAAAAGGAATCTTTCTAGGTCATGGTTAATGATGTTTGTGTTACAACACACAGCTTAATCTGGCCGACATGCACTAATCACTTCCTGTTCTGTGGTGTATGAGTAGAGTTCCAGGTTGAGTCGATCAATTGACCATCCCAGTTTAGATGTTACCATGCATCGACGTAGCCCCAGCGTCATGGATGTATAAGGATAACTTCGCTCAAGTTATCTCATGTCTACTGTAGCTTGGGAGGGAAAACAATATTGGCTGCTAAATTTGATAAATGAAGTTTTATTTATCAGACCACAAATAATTAGCAACTCCTCCCTGCGGTCCCTCTACATTCCTCCACTTCCTGCCGCTGAGAGAAAAATTCATTGGGGGGGGGGGGTTGACTGTCTGACTGAACCGAACCGAACCTACCCGCACCTTCTGTAGTAACTCGTAATGCGGAAGTGGGCGTGACTATAAACTGTCTTCGAAAAAACGATAGACACCACTGGTTCAGCTAGTCACTGCTTTTTTTAAATATGTTTTTGGTTAGACGTCTGAAATAAGGTACGTAAGTATCATAAACATGTGTTTGTCACAGACCTTGCAATATAAAATCCAATGGAAGAATCCCATTGCTTTATGTCAATAAAGCTAGTGCGATGCTAGCTTCTGACGGGGAACTGAAGCCCCCCTCTACCCTCTCTTTAAAACTACCACACACCGTTTTTTGGCATTTGAAAGGGTTAGTTCAGGATTCCCTAAAGTGGTTGGTTAGTCAACGCTTGATTGGCTTTCAGTTCTCCATAGTTAGTCATTAGCACCGTGAGATCTGGTTATATGTGTATCCACCTTTCTTCTTATCCAACCAGTCATTCAGGCAGAGTGAGCTCTATCGGTTTACAGTTATAATCATGCCATCAGTCTTTCTTTGTCTCTACCACTTTATTATGTTTCTCCATCGCTACCATGGCCTGTAGAGTCAGGGTTCAATATCAAATCATATTTTTCTTTAACATGTACTTTTATTTAATTGTGTGCAAATGTTATTTATGTAAACTCTTCATTTTGTATCTGTAACTATGTGTCTTTTTACAAAGATCTACCTTAAAACCAATATTTTAACTGCATTTCTGCATATTTGTTTTTTTGCACAGGCAGCGACACGGACAGTGACACAGAGGTGAGTCTCCCATTATACTGTACACAGGAGAGAGTGATGAATGAATTATTAACTGCTCTGATCTTCAGATAAACAGGTTTTTACCTGTTTCATAGCTACTGCTGAAAGTGTGTGTGTGTGTGTGTGTGTGTGTGTGTGTGTGTGTGTGTGTGTGTGTGTGTGTGTGTGTGTGTGTGTGTGTGTTTCCTGTAATGTTGCGAGACACTGAGAAAAGGGAGGGCCTTGTCAGGAACTGTCAAACATTAACAGGTTGATCTGAGGTTGGCCTTTTGTAGTACTTGTACCCACAGTAACACACACACTACCTCTTATCAGTGGTAAGAGAACAGAGAGTACAAAGGAAAGTAGAAACTTTCCCTCACATTCAGATTATTTTCTGTAATAAAAGGTGTCAGTGATGAATGCAGCTATTTGATATAATAGATGTAATGTTTATATTGTTACACATACAAAGCAACTGAAGCCATGAGAGGCAGTGAGGAAAAAACAAATCTGGTGAGCCATTACCTAAATCTGATTCAAATAGTTTTTTGGAATGCTGTGTTTAAGACTTACGGTACCCAAAACACTTCCGTTAGGAGAAACAAGCTGCAGTTTCAAAAGCAATTCAAATAAAACAACACAAATGTGCCAAAACACATGCACATGAAGCGTTCTGTATTTGCAGCGTTTCATTTATCCAGCACCTTTAACACATGTAACATTACTGCCTAACACACAATATGTGTCTTGTAGTTCAAACTAAGTCATGGCCATAATGAGTATTGCAACAACACCTGTTTTACTAAAGTGACATTTAAGGATTTTAAAAATAAGAATTATAATAGCAAAACCGTTTTTCACCTCTTTTGAAATCATATATAAAGGAGAGGAAACAAATAAATCACTGAACTGGGAAATGGATGTCCAGAAAAAAAAGGAAAAAATCTCACTTCTGTATTCAACATGCGTCAGGAATTAGCCACAGCCTTTGTGCCCTGCTTGTGTTTTGCTTATGCTCCTCTTTTTCTTCTTCTCTCTTTTTTTTCTTGTCCCAGGGGCTCAGTGTAGTCTGGAGGCAGGACTACAACACATCAGTTCTCAGGGTTCCCTCATGTTCTCTCCCCGGCATGGCCACCTTCGTCACCGCGAGCAAGCCCAACTTCAGGGTCACCAGCACGCGAGACCCCACACCCCTCATCAGCTACCACACCGGGGAAGTGGACGGCTGGACGGCAGCGTACGGCCAGAACTCTGAGTCTGCAGCGACCGGCCTCACACACGAGATGCGCGCCAGTGTCATAATGAAAACCTCGGACGTGAACAGCTCCTGACCTCTGACCCCGGATGAGGGAGCATCATCACAGCTTCCAGGGCATAGGAATGACACAGAGTAGGAAAAGCAGCGCCGAGCCAAAACGGGGCGAGGTTCAAAACCTTTGATTCTTTTGTAGCTTCTCTGGGTGATGAATTCTCATTTTAAGAGGAGGAACTGCTGACTGGTGGTAAAAAGTACCCACAAAGTTACCATTTGTATAATAATTACTCACGGTGGTAATTAAATTAGAATTAACAACACCAAAACTACACTTGTAATTCATCTCTCATTTATCCCTTTGAATGCTCACTACAAAAACCTCCATTCTCTGTAAAACCTTCTTGTTTTACACTTGCACAGAAAGTCTCACACTTTCGCGCTTCGTGAGCCCAACATGTCCTTAGTCCATCGTGTTTGTGCTAACACTTTAGCACACATATTCAAATGGAAGAAATTAGTAACTTTTATCCAATGAAAGAAAATGAACTTAAAGTTATGAGGATGCCATAATGTTTTTGATTGCACAACCTAGTAGATGAGTGCGTTTTTTTTCACCTCATATTCATCTACTCTGCTATGATTTTTAGCAGTACACAGTTTCAACTCAAACTGATGTGTCTCAATTGGGACACTTCCCTTGATGCACTGCCATGTCCTACACTATGAACACTTGAGCAGTGTGTGAATTTAGACCAGAGTTGTCTCACAAATCACACACCGCTGCGCTAGCATACAGACATACAAATTAGCGGTAGCTTCTTTTCCAAACTAATATATTCGTATGCTTATTAAAGCCTGAAAAAAAACAGTTTAACTTTTTATTGTTAGTGCTGTGTTTACCGCGGCAACAACAATCGCTGCTGGTTTGCGTAGCTTCCGATACGTTGCCGAGATGGCGATCGTTGTGTGTTAGAAGTGTCCAGCGTTCCACAAAAAAATGTTGACCTCCAGGTACTTGCATTTTTCCATACATTGATTTAGGACACATTTATGCACTCAAAACAGCAAGTTAAAGAATTGAAGTACAAGAACATTTGCTAATAGTTGAACACAGGAAGTTGTTTATGTATTACAGTTAATAAATCTCCCTCACATTTAGCCACACTTCCTAAGACTCCTCACAATACAGAGAACAAATCACCTGCCCTCTCAAACAGTTTACGCTCCAGAGAGATCGCACTACTTGGAAGTAAGAAACATGTTCATACCATATATACAGTCTATGGTTCATACCAAAGCAATGAACACTTCCTAGGAATTCATCTCTCAGTTGGCAAACCAGCTCTACCACAGAAAGCTGCTGAAAGAATCAAAGGCATGTTGTTATCAAGACTGACGAACATTGTGAAGCCCTGATTGGCCCCGCAGTGGAAACAGAGGTGTGTGTGTATCCGTCTGTGTGTGTGTGCAGACCTCAGGACTCTACCCACCAACACACACACAGGCTAGGAACTATGTATCCTCCTCCTCTCCTCCTGGTGTTAATCATGTACATAGCTCATATGTATGAATGCCTGCAAGCCGCTTCAGAACCTTACTGACAGCACTAGTGTGTTTGAGTGTGTGTATGTAGCCTTTTTGAAGATGTGTGCCTTTTAATAACGGTGGCTAGATTCAAACTAGCCGTGCTTTAGTCGGCCATGACAGGCGCAGGTAGCTTTCAGGACATTGCATCTGCCCTGTGTGTGTTTGTGGATACCGACAGTTGTAGTAGGGAGCATGGAGGAGTGGTTAACCCTTCTACCATGGACCTAGTTAATTTAGTAACAATATATCAAACGTCCTCATATGTTGGGATTAACTATTTAACCCCCGTGCCTCACTTTCTGATTAGTTTGGGACAAAAATGTGTCCTTATCATAAATACTATATATTTTTTCGCAGATCTTTAACCTTTCAATAGTTTATACAACAATACTGTTGATTCTAAACATTCAGTCTGGGATAAGTCAGTGAATAGGGAACGGGAATGTGGCGCCATCAACGGCAAGTCGTCCATCTTTGGAGGATACCAGCAACCGCAACCTATTAATTTACCATATACGAGTCAAAAATATGTTTTTAAAAAAGTGATTTATTGGGACTTTTATTTTGAAGGCTCCTAGTGTCTTTATCTAAGTTACTCACCTAATTATAGACTTATTATAGGAGTGGATGACAAACTTCAAATATTTTTAGAAGAAAGAAACTTGCTCCCTATTCAAAATGTACGCCAAAGAAATCTGAAATAAATCTTTAAAAAGTGTAAAAAAATTCCCTAAAGAGGCCCCTGGGATTGTGTTAAAGCAGTGTAATCATAGTGAGTGCATTGATTTTGCAAAATTACATAACTGCTATAATAACAAGTAGGAATAGGGAAGTCAGGGCTCTGTCCCAGAAAGGACTGTCGTCAGCAGAGCCCTGTTGTTTTTACGCTCCAAACGTCCTCTTATCCGTAGAGCACAGACTTCTGTGTCCTCTTGTGTGTTATGTCCACCTCTTCATTTGACATAAGATGAAATAACTAACTTCCCCGGGCGCCGTACATAATGGCAGCCCACTGCTCCTAACACTAGGATGGGTCAAATGCAGAGAAACAATTTCCCCACGGGGAATAATAAAGTATATAAAAATCAAAAGAATAACTTGCAACGTAAGTCCAAACATATACCCAGAATGATGAACTGTTCTACAATGCACTGTTGGAGAGTGTATCTGAAAGCTACTTGTGTTAGCAGCTAGCAGGCTAAAGCACGGTCTCTTTTTCCCATGCCTGCCTTAAAGCAGAGTTCAAGGGACAGTACTAAAAGTAGCAAAACAGTCGGACAAATAGGAATCTGCCAAGGTTTTTTTAACCAAACTACTAAAAGAGACTTTACACTGGACGCACATCATTATCATGGTGAATTAATTTAAGAATTGAGGGGGTTTGGTGAGAATGTGGAAATGGCAAATGGCTTTACCAAATATTTTCTTTAACGTGCCTTCTTATTGTTCTGCAGCGCATACTGACAGGTGGCTTATGTTTCTGTGAGCCTTATACACTTTAAAGGCCCTATTATGCTTTTTTAGGTTTCTTTTCCTGTAGTGTGTTGTATAGGTTTTTAGCATGTAAAATGGTCCCCCCCCCCCATAAAGTATGGGACATCCCTAAGCGGTTGACCAATCACAACTGAGCCGGCCAGCTAACCAATCAGAGCAGACTGGGCTCTGGTTTCAGACAGAGGATGAAAAGAGGTGCTGCAGCTCAGGCAGTATGAGAACAATAAAGAGGTTTTTGAACATGGAGACATGTCACAGTAGAGGAACAAAATACAAATATGTGATCCTGAAAATAAGCATAATAGGTCCTCTTTAAAGCAAGTTATATTGTCAATTGCCTTTACAAATCCTGCCTTTTATTTGATCCATGTTTTTTCCTTGTGAGCCTTTTTAGCTTCAGGAATGTTGTTGTAGTGGTCACATAGTCTCTAAACGCAAAACCCTTTGGTAGTTATGACCAAATCAGCTGTTCATTTTTTTTGTGACACCCTTGAGTGTTGCTTTGCATATAAACAACATGATCCATATTAGACATTGGAGCCGATTTATTGAATTAAATTGCATTGTTTGTGCTCGATATTGAGCACAAACAATGCAACTTGACTTAAAACTGAAAACTTCTACTTGAAAAATGTAATCTTCAAACTCATTTTTTATTCACATTGCGCCAAAATCCAGACTAGTTATTAGAAGAGATGTAGCCAGGAATAACTTAAGTGCACTTATAGGATAAGAAGTAGAAGTTTTTTTGCTTTAAATAAAAAAAGGGACTTCATTGCAGCCAAAAGTTGATTACATTGAGATGTAATAATGTTTTCCATCATGTAGTTCCCACCTGCTTTTGCTTCGTGTGATTCACAACCACTTAGAGCCGAGGAGTGTCTCAGCACAAAGAACAAAATGACCGTTGAGTTTATAGAGAACTAAAGAAGGTAATTGCTCAGCTCCTAAAAGGCAGCGAAGCGCGACATGTTTCCACTGTTTATTCTCTGTACTTGTTGAGCTACATGTGAATCAACATGTAAAGCTGATAATAAAGATTGTTTTGTATTTATTTTGGTGTTTAATAGACTTGATTGTATGGAGGACTAAAGCTGCCATCATAATAAAAACTAAAATGGCAAGAAATGTAATAAATATGTCGCATATCAAATAATTGTACAGTTGAACACATTTCGTTAACATGGTAGGTCATGTTTAAATGCATTAATTACAAATTAATTTAAATACAAATATTTAATTTATTTTTTATATTTCTTGACATTTTAATTTTCAAATTGATCTGCACATGTACTTGATTATTTAGGGTTTTATTCTCTATATAATCCACATTACTTAAACAATTTGTAATTCATTAATTAATTTTTACACATTTTTTCAATTAATCTGCAGAAAATAAATAGAAATGTGATAGATTTATATAAATGAATATAAATTGGGAAATAATTCAAATACATTTTCAAATACAATCTTTTTTTTATTGTTGATATGTTTATTTTCATATTTATTTTATCATTTAGGATATTATTCTCTCTATTATCTGCAATATTTAAGAAAAACGTTTTCTTTTAAATTAATTAATGAATTCATTTCTGCACACACTTTCCAATTAACCTGCAGAATAAAAGTCTTATCAAATAAATGTGCAGGTCAATTTGAAAAGAAACTATAAGCACAGGAATAACAACAAAGCCTTGCTAAGGATTGTTGCCGCGCATGCGTACCTGCGTACCAGTTATGTGCACCCCTGTTTATGAGAGACTTTGTATTTGTTGCAGTTAAGGAAGAACATAAAGTCCATTAAAGATGTTGAGGTCATGCAGCCGGTCCTTACAGGGGAAAGGGGGTTGGGACTGAGGTCTGAGATAAGAAACACAGCCTGGTGCTGAGCTGTGCAGGTTAGCACATGTAGCGCTGCATGTGGGTTAGAGTGCGGAGTGGACAACTTTTAGCGCGTGCGGTTTAGCTTTCTGTCAGAGCAGATGTTTCACACATGAACACTCTGCTCTCTCAGCTAACCATAGCTCTAACTGCTGTTTCAGTTTCTCTTCTCAGTTCTCAGCTCCCCTTCCTGTTTGCCTCTGAGGCCTCGGTTGCATGGCTGGCCAGTTGCCTTGACAACTTCTGACCTCATGCTGTTAGTCATAGTAAACAGTTTGTCTCTAGTATGCTATATTTTGCTCTTTCACAAGCTTCCTTGTGCCCATGTTTCTTTAACAACAATCAGTAAGCATCATCAGAAAAAGTCCCTTCTCCACTCTCATTTCCCCATAAACACTAGGCTGAAGTGTTCAGGGAATTCTTTCTTGAAGTTCATTTATTTTTGATACCATGCTCAGCAAGGCCAAATTCAAGTCCCCTGTTGTCACTTTCAGGTAGAAAACACAACTTACTTTATATTAATAAAAAAGGAGTATGCCTATAATCAGGCAAAAATATAACTTAGTATTGTTCAT